AAATTTAAGGGTTTTTCAATATTTAGGCCTCTTATGTCAGTTTTGAGGAGTTATCGCCCTTTAACCTCTATACAGTAAGTGCTTCTATCAACATCAATTGCTCTTAACACTCTGTCCGTCTGTCTTTCTGTCCGTCAAAATTTGCTTGTAAACGCTCTAAAAATGGAATCAAATGAAATTGGGTATGTTTATACATATTCTTAAAACGAAGATCAAGTTCGAATTTGAGCTATTTTTGACCGTTACAAGCAGAGTTATTGCCCTTGCCCCAAAATCTTGAATATGCTATTACTCTCTTAGTTTTCAACCGATTTTTATGAAACTCAACATTTTTTTTTTACCTAAATCGAAAGGTTTGAGAAAGTTTACTTTACTTCTGATTAAATTCAAGGCTTTTTCAAGATTTAGGCCTCTTACGTCAGTTTTGAGGAGTTATCGCCCTTAAACTCTATACAGTAAGTGCTTCTATCAACATCAATTGCTCGTGAAGGCTCTAAAAACTAGATTTTTTGTAGAATCAAATGAAATTCGGTATGTTTATACATATTCTTAAAACAAAGATCAAGTTCGAATTTGAGCTATTTTTGACCATTAGAAGCAGAGTTATTGCCCTTGCCCCAAAATCTTGAATATTTACCATCCACATGCCATGGTGGGCGTATATGGCTGTGGTCCTATATCTTTTTATCGCATGTGTACTTTAATCTAGATAGAGAAATTTGTAAAATACATATTTGATAAGTAAAGTATATTAAATAAAATAGATAACAAGCTTATTACTGTGTTTAGAATTGATTGAAATATTTTAAAGAGTTTAAAGTATTTTAATGAGATTAATTAATTATTTAATGAAGTATAATTAGTAGAGAAGGTATTTACATTTAATCTAATATTAATTATAAACTGAAGAAAGAGTAGTAATCTGTCAGTTTGTTATATTGAGACACCTGTATTACAGCATTACACTTGTATTATATCAACCTAGTGGTGTTGTTAGGTAGATATTACCTATTGATTAACCTGACTTAGTCTTATCAGCGTTAATCCAATACCTATCAATAAGCTTATTACTGCCCGACCATATATACAGGTAGATGTACTAGTCAATGGTTGGTTATTGTATACTTGAGAGGTTGTAAGTAAGTTATGTTTGATATACTAGTAGAGACTATTGTTTGCTTGTAGTTAATTGTTTGTGAATTATGCAAACTACACAGAGGACTTTGTGTCGTAGTTAATTTTGATGAAAAAGAAACTTTATAATTGGATTATATGGAAACAAAGTTATAAAAGTGTGTGTGGTATAGCTTGTTTTGGTTTCTTGTAGGATGGATAATTCAAAACTTGCAAAGGATATGACGAGATTGAATAAAATTTTGCTAATATGGATAGAAAATTTGACTGAGTTTGCTCTTCAAAATATTCTGTCTTTACTATTTTGCATTGGTTATATGATAGAAAAGGCAAATTGGCAATAAACTAAGCAAAACTTCTTAGAATTATCTTGACTGATAAAGTGATTGGTGACATTAAACTTAATTTTTAAGAATTTTTGCATATGATTGCAATAAACACAATTTAAAGGATTTTTTTTACTCTTTTGCAGGGCCTAGGATACCAAAATGGCTACAGTAGCTTTGAATAAAGGTGTGGTGACCATGAACAAAACTTCAAAAAGTCCCGGTAAAATTCCATTAACATCAGATGACAGTAAAATACTAGGAAAAATTACTATGAAAAGACGTGAAGCTACAACTAATAACAGCTATAAAACTTTAAAAATGAAAACCCATAACAGTGCCTGGACACCAGTAGTTCATAAACCCAGCAATGAACAAGTAAGTACTGTTATATTCTTTTATGACACCCTGTTACTTATTTACAGTAACAACTGGTAAAAACTAAGTTATTTTTTGTAGTATCCAATATATGATATTAGTTTATGTCAATAGTGGTTATTGAATCATTGTAAATTCACCATTGCTATATTAGATTTTATCAGGTTTCAGTAGATAAGCCGAAAGCTATTAGACTGTTGAATTTGTGTATCACATAGTTTAAACTTTTGAAATTTTGACCCTTCACATTGTGTAGGTTATTTAGGAACTTTAGGGCATGAAGTTAAAGTTTGTTTGAATTTTACTTCAGAATTTTTATCTAATATCTTAAGTTTGTTGTTAGATTGACTTTAACGGAGTAATTTTTAAGTTCATTCAGCTTCAAAATATTTTATAATTTTTCATGCACACTTCTCTCCTAGAAATTTCAACCAAAGATGTCTAATATTTTGGCTGAAAATTGTCCTCTGTACAAACCAAATTGTAAATGATGATATATTATGCCTTTGTGTTCATTTCCAAATCCATTCTAAGACTTTTGAAGACTTTAAAAGCTGATACTCATATTCACAAAAAATACTCAGTAAAATTAAATTGACTGACAAGAGTATCTAGACAGAAGGATTCCTTTTCGCTTCCCGATTAGTCGAGAATTTGTATCCATATCTTTGATATGATCTAACATATGAAAATGAATTTCCGTCACATATAAAGTTGATCACACACAGTGTTATAGATAAAAAGATTTCATGATAAGAGATAGTATATAGTAAAAAACTATGATATAATAAGTTGAATATTGTATAATATCCAGATAATAAATAGTTAGATTAGTGTATAAATCATATTAATCTCTAGTCATTGACAATAGGTTATATAATAGGTTATAATATCAAGCTAACCTTCAATAATATCATTTCAACCTTCATTCTTCATAATCAGATTTACTCATAATCTTATTTCTATGTTAAAAACAATACAATTATGCAAGATTTTTTTTTTGGCTCGAAAACCAGTGTTTAATAGAATCGCATGAAGGTGCAGGATCTGAGTTAAGGATTTCAATAGAAAATAGCTGAGGAATAGCTCAAAAACAGCCATTTTTTTTTTTAGAAAAAAGTTTAGGAAATCATTCAAATTATTATCACAATGTACTTTGAACTCTATTTGATTATTATGCATAAAATAATTGGTGTTTGAAATAAGAGCCCCCTTTTTCCAGCCAGTCCAGATTTTTTATGTATCTAAATTTCTGGATTTCTTATAATCATAAGAGCAGACTTTGTTCAAGCTTAACTCTGTAGCAACAACATCATTGTGTGCAAAAATTGTCAGAAATTATTAACCAGAAATCTTATGAAAGACAAGCATAAATTATGGTTGTATAAAACAATAAATAAAGCAAGATGAACTTAAAAGGATGTTTTATATGCATGACTAAAATCAGTGATGAAAAATATATTTGTAGAAAAAGAGTGTAGCTGATAGTGTATTGATAGGTAGTAATTATAGACCTATAGACATGATTAATTGATAGATTAGTCTCATCTTGTACCTTAATCTTCTTTATATCATTCATATTTTATTTTAACACTGTCTCCTGAACTTTTAACATTATATATTTATTATGACATTTCTATAACATTAAAACATACCCAGACAGTCTAATGTCATCATAGGCCAATACAGGGAAAAACTGTCAATTATTGTCAGATATTTCAAATGTTATCAGATAGGGTAAAGCAGATATATATTAAGTTTCATTTAAAATTTGATAATTTAAAATTAATGACTAAAAGAAAATAATAAAAAGATTTATTTTTTACATAAATTTTGATTTTTGAATGAGTGAAAGACTAATATTTTGATGATATTTCCTTCAAAAGTATCTCAAACTCGGAATTTCTTTTCCTTTTTCTATAGATGTCTTTTCTATATGTGGCAGTGTCTCAAGAAAAATCTTTTCAATTTCAAACGTGGATAATTCTGGACACACTTGGATTTGAAAACTATTACTTATTGGCTTAATTAAAAACACCTGTTTCTGAGACTAATACCCCATTTACACTAGGCCCCTATAAAGAGAACCTGGCCCGGATCGGTGCCTGGCTCCGATCAAAACGTCTGTTTACACTGGTGTTCTGTGATCTGGGCCAGGCCCACTTTAAACGGAAATAAGCGTGCACTCTCTAATTAAAAAGATTACAAAAGGTCCACATTTGTAGATTTATAATGGCCGCCGATACGAAAGTTGTAAACCCTGCACATGCGCAGAAGAATTTTTAATCGGAGCCAGACATGCATTCGTTTTACACTAGTAAAATTAAAGTGGGCCAGGCACCGATCCGGACCTGGCCCACCTCTTATTGCGGTGCCAGGCCCCAATTAAATTGGCTCGCTTTATTCTGTTTACACTAGTAAAATTGAAGTTTTTTTTATCGGAGCCGAGTGTAAAAGGGTATAAGGTATGATAGAAGAAATGGTGTAGCTGTCTTAATCTTAATAGTATAACTTGTATAAGATTTGGTATATGTATTTGTAATATTATATCTATATACCATGAATTGTTGAACAAATTTATATCTTTTCCAGATATTTAATGAAAGAAGAGATTTAGTTTCACATTGGGTAGGTATATGTTAGATCCTAATTGATTTTTTAAATGGAACAAAAAGATATTCTGTAGTTTGTATTTTCATCTCTATTCCATCTTGCAAACAAGTGTGCATTGCAATTTGCAAAGCATTTAATTGTGTTGATACCTCTTAAGCTGCATTACTTATTCTTGAAGTTTGTCTTGCAAGAAAATCTGTAAGAAAATTTGTTGAAATCATCATTGTTATGGTTTGGAATCAATTTTAATGAGTCGGTAAATATATGAAAATGATTATAAAGAAATCCATGAATTTACTCTCCCTATGAAATTTGGTGAAGTCAACCTTGAGAATTGTAATATATTTGTTTATTGATGCTTCCTATCTGTATGGTTCTGTATTTTTTGTTTGTATGGTTTGTAGTATCACAGTAATATTTCTATTCTTATTCTTTTAGTTTGATCTATGGACAGATTCTCAACGTAAAAGATTTTTAGATGTTATATTTCAACAATGTAAAAAGGAACAGAATATTTTTGTACAGAATTGGTTCCGAGATCATGTACCAATGCAACATTTAGATTTTACTACAGTTTTACCGAAGATTCTCTCTGTCTATATATTTTCCTTTCTGGATCCTAAAAGCTTGAGCAGAGCATCACAAGTTTGTTGGCATTGGAAATTTCTATCTGAACAGGTAATTGAAAATCTTTCTTATTAATCCATATAAAGAGTAGATATAGTTGTTTGCTGATTGTCTTGACAGTAAGAATTGCAATTTGTACTATGTCTGTGTATTATAGTCACAATTATACAGTATCAGAATAATATGTGAAACTGTGAAATCATTTTTATTTGAGGACATTCAATTTGGTGACAGATTGATAAACCCATTCAACCCACAAATATTTATCTGAAAAAATAACATAGAAAAATATAGAAATCTAGTAATGTCTCCACATATATGCTTTGGTGGCAACAAATTTTAACTTTTCATTTCAATGATGATGGAAAGAAACTCTTATTCTATTGTTGTAATTAATGAATAACATAGTTGTTAATTTCGATGTAGAAAATTTTGAAAATTTAAATTTGAATTGAACATTTAGATTATATAAAAAATGATAGTCCCAATAATGTTATTGTTCATCTATTTACCTATTGAAAATTAGGATAAATTTTCTTGCGTTTACCTATATGTAAGTTTGTAATTTTAGGATGATATATGGAGAGAGAAATGTATGAAATATGGTTGGTATATTCCTTATACACCAGCAGATAATGAATATGGTGCTTGGAAGATGCATTATATAGCTTGTGTTCAAACATTAGATTATGTTACTGGTAAAGGGGTAAGATATTTTAAATTATTTGTAATTGATAGATGATTTCTATGTTTTGGCGATTTACTTTTGAGGAAGTTTCTTCACATCTGATTTAATATTGAATATATTTTTTGTAGAATTTATATGGAATGAGAGATGCTGTATTTACAAAAAGGCGTAAAAATAGAAGTCAACTGTCTTTAGCTGATGGCCGTAAGTTTTGATATTTTTGGTTCAATGCTATATCTCATTTCATTTAAGTACATGGAATTTAAATACATCATTTACCTGTGTGTGAGTTATAATCTACTGTCCTGATTATGTATTGTATATCAAGAACATGTTTTGGAATGAGGTTCAGCTGAAACTCTTCGTTCAAACAAATCATAGACCTGCGTAAGAGATATAATTTTTCTTTTTAAAGTTAGTTACTGTCTAATTTGTACTTGGTTGTGTAATGAAATGTATAATCCATGACAAATTATATTCCAGAGAAAAGTATATCATCGCGACCACCATGGCAGAGACCTGATGCTAAACCTAAAGATTTACAGAGATCTCAATTTGCTATGATCCAACAATTTAACCCTAATAGTCCATCTGGTTATAAATCACCAGTACATAATAGATGGGGCCAAATAAAACATGAACATTCCCAGTCAACAGAGTCTCTTTCTAGATCTTTAGATTTTGAAATAGGATTAGACTCTAAACGTAGAACACAGCGCCATAGAACTCTTACTGTAAGTTAAATATAACACTTTCTGGGGGTTCCATATGTATATAATTGTTGAATTGTGTCACGTTTTGATTCTGCAGCCTTAATGTAGAGTCTTCGGGGTGAATATTCAACTCAATATTCAAGATATATTCTTGTTCCCTCAACTAATTACTAGAAATTAGTTTATTTATAGGCATAGGTGATCAACTTTATTTTGGAAGACAAAGTATCTGCCCTTCTTCCCCTCACCCCACAAAATTGAAATATTGTCTTTATGTCATAGAAGCCCTTAAATACTCAAAATGTGGCTTAGGGTATCTCTACTGTTTATCTGAACAGCATGTTAATGATATCACCGTGTGATTGGTCATAACTAAATGTAAGAATATCAGTTATATTTTTAATTTTGATGCTGAAAAAGAATGTTGGCTCAGATAGAGCTCTGTCTTCTGGTAAGATAAATATAGAGATGACAATGGTATTCTATGTATTGTGTTTTATAATGGTAATTGATATATATTTACTATAGAGTGATAGTTATGATATGACTAAGAGAAATAATAAGACATTAAGAGAAAGTATAGTAAATACAGATGAGTTTCGACAAAGAGAATTAGTTGAAACTGACTGGATACCGCCTAATAAATCTCCATTAAATAGGTATGTTTTGATTGACTTTCCTTATATCTTTATGCCATGTCTGCATAGTATACATGACATGTGTAATGGTCTTGTAAAAAAAACTCTTGAGACAGGTGTTGGAGACTTGGGTAAAAAATCTGGAGACTTAGGTAAAAATCTGAAGACTTAGGTAAAAATCTGAAGACTTTTTCAAAGCACCTAAAGCAAGAACTTAGTGCTCCAAATTGATTTCTAATGTCTATGTCTAATGTCTGAAGAAATTGTTTGAAAAAAAAGTTGTAAGGATGATAATCCACATGAAACAATTTTGGAATTTTTACTCTTTTATGCTGTGAAAAGCTTGGAATCGTGATTTGACAGAAGAATTACACCTCTAATCTTTGTTATTTACAGAAATAATCTATCAGGCGGTGGAAGTTATCCACTGTATAAAAATGGTATGAAGAGACAATCCTCAATTAACATGAACAATCCTAGAATTATCTTAATATCATCTCGAGTACCTGCTGCTGATGTGAGTAGTTTTTGGATTTTTTTTCTGTATATAGTCTTTTTCTCTGTATGACTCAGTATTCTGGACTTGATTTTCTGTTTATTTCCAAATATAGTGCTCATACATGTATAATGCACACCCTTTCTTACCATCCTTTTAATATAGTAACCACCAGTTCAGTAAACCCTTTCTAGGCTAAAAAAAAATGCACAATATAGACTCAAATATACAGTTCTAAATGTGTATATTATTATTACTTACCTTATATAATTCTCTATTTTTGGTATTAAATATTTTGTGTATTCTGCATTAGACAAATTTAGGTATCTTGTATAAGAAAGAATATGATACCAGAATATTGATGTTATTATCAGTATTTTCTTTACTAGTAGATATATCTAGAGTCATTAATAATTAAAACTCTTGTTTACATCATCAATTGATATCTCTCATTAATAATACAATCTTTATTTGATATTGATTAGTGTTATATGCACGTAGATTTATTTAACTAACTGTATCTGCTCAGATAAAGGATTTCTTGATTATTAATTTAATTATGTGTGCATGCTTGATTGTAATTAAGAGATTCCCAAGAGCTCAGTGATTTTTTCAGAATAAGTTTTTAGGTCAGGTTTATTCTCTTTTTTTCTAAAAATAACTAAAGCTATAAGATGATTAGAGAATAATTCACAAAATAGAAGTAAAGTTTTGTTTTGCACCTCTGTATTGTATTGCAAATTGTGTACAAAAGGTACTGAGGGCACAAATAAGGGGCAGAACAACTAAATGAGGGTACAACTGTTAAAGTTGAGATTCAAAATATGACAGCTCTGAAGTGCACAGATGCAAGCCTGCCATTGAGCATCTAAAAGGATTCTTTGTAAAACATTTGGAGCAAACACATATAAAAATCATATTTTCAAATTTGAAGTGGGGTACAAACCATTTTTCTAGCCCCCCTCTGTACCCTCACTTGCCCAGTCACTGCAGTCACTTTATTTTACTCCATTGTACAAAAAGACTTTTTAAGAGTGATCCATATTAGAGTTTTTACTAATGAATTGGTTTATTGTAGTTACTATTAGATGCTGTAATGTTTGGTATATTACCTATTGTATATGAATATGAAGGAACAAGTTTAGAAACATTAGTTAGTCGTATTGGTCAAGTATTAGATGGAACCAAAGCTCAGTAAGTCCTTCAGTTTATATAAGTTAAACAAACTATTTAATCAGATCTGCTGCTGCCACAGATTTCGAAAAATTTTTGAAATGTATATTTTGCCATTTTTGCATATATCTCTTAGCTTTTTCTGTTTATATTAAGAATAGTGAAAATAAACATTTTGAGAATTAAAAGAGAAGAAGCTTATTTTGATGTTCAGGCAAAATTTCCAGGGCAATAACCATTTTCTTAGCCAAATTAAGTCATTTTTTTAGCCTAATAAATCCATAATTTTGTGATTTGTTTACAGGAGTATTGGTATATTCTGTCATTCAATGAAACCCAGTGAATTATGTTTAGTTCATGGTGCCACTGTTACTACTGATAGTCTAGATGATCCTAATATTAGACAATTCTTTGAGAATATAACATCACATATGGTACCTAATGATAAAGATGGCAGAATTGATATTTTTGTACCTTTGGCAGCTTCAGGTATTTGAAATTTTAATGTTGATTTGAATGGTACAGGAAAAATAACTCAAGATGCGGGCCACCAAATTAATGGGACCAAAAGGGAATTTACTGGTACATTTTATGGTTGGTCTAGGTACTATGATGATTTAAAAAAAAAAAAATTTTATGTCTCTGTAGAAAATGGTAAAGAAATATTAAGTGAACTATCAACATTATCTGGTTTAAAATTCTCAGCACCAACTGGACTTATTGGTACCTATAATCATAGTAAGTACTAGTTTAAAGATATATATATTGTATTAGATATGCTAAACCATAATCATTGTGCCAATACAGTGAGCGCTGAAATTCTTAGCACTAAGATCAAACTTTGCTTTGTGCTCCTGATCAAGCTTATGAAGTTGGGCGTACCATGCAGCATGCTATGTGGGAAATTATAACAATATAGTAATTTCCTCAATAAAACAGCCATAAGAACTTATTCCATGTCAGCCATTACAAGTTGATTACAAGGCATTATCTTGATAATATTGAGATTGGGTCCTGTTTCTTAATTAATTTACTAATTAATCTTAAGCTGTGCTGTTGTCATTGCATATTTATAGCATATAAGAAATCTAGTTATTAAATAAAAAGCATTAATGCAAATATATTTACATGTACATAAATAATAAGGCATATTTTTTAAGCTTTTGTGCACCATTCATTCATATTTATTATTTATTATAGTAAATACAGAATGGTCTGTATCGTATAAAGAGAACAGTCCACCAGCCATGTATTTCTGTCAGAGTAAACTCAATGTCTGGTCTAATGTAGCTGAACAGGCTCAAGAAGCTTTAACAAGATGTCGTGAAATAATGACACCATATTTCAGTAAATTACAACAAGATATAGCTTGTCAATTAGCAGGTAGGTAGATTTGATTAACATCTACAATAGTTTAATTTGGATTTTTAAGTTTGAGGATTTAAAATGCCATGAGGTTCAGTGAATTTAAATTTATGAGATCTGTGTAAACATCATAAAACCTTGAAAAATGTCTTAAAAACAAATGAGAAAAATTTTGGAAAGACTCAAAGAGTGATAAATGAGTGAAATTTAATTATTTTTTTACTTATTTCATAAAATTCGGGTGATAATGTGGCCTTACTTGTTTTGGGAGAGCCTTGTGATGCAAGTCACCCATTGGTAAAGGTTTGATCAACTAACTTGACAAAACTTATTTATTGGTCATATATTATTTCTACAGTTAATTTAGCTACGTGTCTGCTTAAACTTTCCCTCAATGAAAATGAAATGTGGTCACCATAGTGAACTACACTCTACTTTTGAGAATTATACATTTTGACAAATCTTATCAAACCATTTTTTATACCAGTTATAAATATACAATATAATATTTTCAGGTCAGTTAGTATTTGATGTTCTAGGACAGACTGATATACAAGGTGTACATAGTTTAACAGCTACAATTAGTAGTGGTCTAAAATCATTAGGTGATCAAACTAATGTTAAACCATTAGAATATCTGGGCAACTATGTTTTAGATAAAGCTGATTCTATGACTGATTCTATTAAAACTCTGAGAAAATCACAGGTAAGTCTCAAGCTCTGATTATTTTTTAGATCTCAATTTCTTTTTCTTTGACCTTATTTCTCACATGGAACCACCATTGCTATCTAGTAAGGTGGTCAAGACATTGAGTTCTAGCTTGTAGCCCTGATCTTGGCAACATTCCTCTCAGTCATTGGGCATTAATGGCTGGGTGCTCAGCCGTGATATTAAACTAAGGCCCTATGTGCAAAACAAGGTAGAGGTTGCTATTGCCCTTGTAACATATACCTCATTGTACACTGCATGGCATTACTTCATTAGTCCAAATTATTGTTTGAGTATTATAATGTATTTGTGAATTAATGTGCACATGCATGGTCAGCTGCTCAAATTATTGGTATTAGTAATTTAATTATTGGATTCAAAATTGTATTACAGACATTACAAATAACAGAACTAGAAGAGAATGGTAATAATAATCAAGATGAATTAGATAATAAAGCTGATTGGAGTGATCATGAAAAAGGTAAACAAATAATGTCTTTATATACTAGTAAAGATTGATTTGAAGGAATTAAAGTGATTCTGATATGGAACAGTCTCTATTTAATACTTAACTTGATAAAGTGTGTTGTACCTAACTTATTTGGATATCTTGTTAACTAGATTAGCAAAGATATTTGTACATATCCAGATACTACATGTATTCAATATTTAAACATGAGCAGCTCTGTTTAAAAAAACAGATAGACTAAAATATCTTTCCTCCACTAATCAGCTTTGAAAATGTCTACAAAAAAACTAATTTTTCTCTAAGCATACAGACATATTTTGATGAAGAATTATAGAAATTGATTTTTATTTCAGAAGAGGAAAGTAAACAAGAGAAAGATAAAATATATGAAACATTTACTAGATCTAATACTTATGATAAACTTAAGAATAAAACAAATAAGTTGAATACATTACAGAGATTGGTAAATATTTTATTTCTTCATTTGTCTTTTAATATTCAAATGATGTTACATTAAGGAGAAATAGATTCAAAAATCTGGCAAGTACAGCCAAACAAAGTGTTTACATGTATATATTGTTTTTATGGAGCTCCACATGGTCAATTGATGAGATACACTTGATTCTAATGTCATTTTGAAAGTCAAATTACCAAAATTAATTTTTCAAAGTAAAAATCTATTGTTATAATTGTTTGTTAATAGACTAGCCAAGAATATAATGGATGTATAGAAAAAAGAACACCAATAGCGTTTGAGATATTATCAAGTGAAAAAGAGTATAACAGAACATTAAAAGCTATAAAAGATGTGTTTTATAAACCATTAAAATTAGCTCTGGAATCTAACAGGTATTGTGTAGGTCTTGATTTAGGGGAATCGTTACGCAGGAAATATTTGCATCAAGCTATTATTCAAAACACTATGTTTTGAAAATGATTTGTGTTGTTTGTACAACAATCTTAACAGGTGATGTGTTGGGAGGGATATTTAAAATTATGCATGAATTTTCATAGCGAATCCATTGTGGTCCGTTTCACGAAAATCTTACAAATAAGAATTGATTCCTATGATGTTGTGTGACATTTTTGCTGTGCTGAGATAGTATTTTTATTCGATTATATTTGAATCTCGTCAAAAGTTGTTGCACTGATGTTGAAAATCAGAAACTTTTACGAAGTATATTTATAAAAGAAGACTCTATTATATTTTCAGAGCTATCATCAGTAGTCCAAATGTCCAGACTATATTTTTAGATATATTATCTATATATGATGTCAGCAAGTAGGTATTTCTTTTTATGTATTATAGTGAGTTTTATTGCAAAAGCTGCGACTCAGAGTCACAGACATTCTATGATGTCAAGGGTCAAGACTCCCTTGAAAATAAGCTAAGATCATTGCCGTGGAAATACTGATCTTATTGCATGCTACATGGCACTGGCTGTTATTATAAGTCTAATTAAATATACACAAGAAAGATTCCAATTATAACTTGAATGCATGGTTTGTGCTCTATAAGTTTATAAAAATATTAATAGAGGTTTCAAGATGCTTCTTCTAAGAGTATTTTTATTTATTTTTATTATTTTACAGAGAGTTGTTAGAGAATCTAAAGAATAGACTAAGTAATTGGAGCTCACAACATACATGTATTGGTGATATCTTTATTAAATTCTGTACACATTTAAAATGTTACAGTAATTTTATCAATAACTATCAGGTGATATTGAGCTGTATTGAGAAATGTCGTGAACAGTCTTCTTCCTTCCGTAACTTTTTATTATTACATCAGAGATTACCAGAAACTAGAATGATGAGGTAAGCTTATCTATGGTTTGGCTGATTTTGATTTGTCATGGATTTCCAAAGCTTGGTACACACTGAATGTTTTTTTGAAGTCTGTAGTTTTTTTAGGCAGTGTCAAATTGTCAAATGGAAATTGTTGTCAGTGCATAATTGCTGGCTTTAATGGAGACTTGGGCGCCTCCTGCAGAGTTAATACTGAAATTTCATTGGTTGACCATTAGACTAGGTCATGACAAATAATCGGGATAGCCTACACACAAGCTGACAAGGCACGTCAATCTCCTTGATAGCTCCTGATTTTGTCCTAGGGCTGTCATGGACCACTGCAAAAAGTGTTAAAACATCATTGTATTTTATTTTGTATGATATTTTGTTTTTCAGTTTACAAGAGTTGTTGCTATTACCTGGTAGAAGAATAGAAGAATATGTTAAATTATTATCATGGTTTCAAGTACATACACCATTAGATCATGCTGATAGAGAGGATATAGATAATATATTATCTACATTTAAACATCTTAATGAGGATATTATACAGGTATATATATTCTTTTAACACTCAGAGGGACCTTGTTAACACAGTGAGTTAAATGCTTGCTAGGATCAAGAATAAGAGTAAACTCTCCTCTAAACCTATATAACTATTTATTTCAGTGTAAAGTTAGATTAGAAAGAGAAAGAGAACTGAATAGATTACAACAAACTATTGTAAACTGTCCTGTAAGTCATCATTTTGTTATTTTGCAAATGACCATATCTTTAGATTTTTACAGTTTAACATAGTGTATTTAGGAAACTTTGGAAACCTTTGAACATCAAATATTTATTTCTAATTTATAAACTTTACAGGCACTGTTTGAAGCTAATAGATACTTAATAAAACATTTAGATGTATCTCATTTACGACCACCAACAGAATCTGATGTTCCTGAATTAAGGTTAGTACAATTAAAATGCTTTTAATGTTTGTTTTCTGGGTTTCAGCTTGATATGGAATATAAATATCTTTTATTTTTTTTTCATTTGTTATCTGTGATTATGTCACTTTATGATTGAAACTTTGTTTTTTTTTTACAACCATGGAAAGACAAAGTGGCTGCTTAGTGTGGTTTGATTAATTAAATGTAGGCTTGTCTGAATTATTTACCAAATGAAATGTAGTAATCTCCCTTAATATGTTTTGGTAAAGGTCCCTGTTCATAAAGATTTGTCTATTTTTTTCAGAATGTATCAAGAATTAGCCACACTAGGTTTATATCTATTTAATGATGCTTTGGTTATAACAAGAAGAACATCTAATTATTATCCGTTCACCAGAGCAGTAGATTATACCTATAAATTTGATGTCAGTCTGGCTTTGAATAGATTACGTATTACTGATATACCAGACTCAAAATGTAAGTGGTAACTTTTTTAATAAAATTAGTCACATAAGAACTATTATTACTGCTTACTGCTGTAACAATATGATGTGAAAGATATCAATATTCTATACCACAGTTGGTTAAAGTGTTGGTAACTTTACGTGATCTGTCATCTGCTTGGTTTCATTGAACAAATCGGGTTGTGGGTTCAAATCTCGCTTGGTACATTGAATCATATTTTTCTCCTTTTTCAAGTGGGCACAGTTAATCTGGGAAAGTTCAAAGATTTTTCTCCAAGGATATATAAAAACAAACAGGTTGATATTATTGAAAACTGACACTAGTTAGTGATGATCTTTTAAAAAAAAATTGGCCTGGGTCACAAGTAAACCTGCCAATTTCTGCTTGAAAACAACGCCCTGTATATTTGATGACCTGAATAAAATTCAATGGTGTGCTTAATATTTCACATTTATTGTGTTTCCTACACTGGTCATTTTGAGATATTTAATTTAGTTATTTTTCTTCTTGGAAAAGTTAAAATATTCAAACATTCCTATTGTTTTATATATTAGAAAGTGTATATATCTAATATACTAGTATGTAATTTTGCTCCTCCTACACTTACTGTTGTAAGTAAAACATAATGACATTTCTATTGATTCAATGCAGGCTCACATGTTTTATACTGGTGGCTTTTGTTACATCAGATCTAAAATAAGATAAAATATATCACTCACCATGTTTAATATGTGACTGAAATAAAACCTCTGTAATCAATACATCATGCTAAAAATAAAAGGGAGGTTTGTTTGATCCAATGATAGGTAAAGAATATCAGTAGGCTATCAAATTATGTGATAAAGTAATCAGTTAACACTAGACACAGTACATCAACTACACTTTTTGATACATGTATTAATATTGTATTATTAAAATATATCATATGTGCAAGATAAATAGATAGACACATTACACATCTATGAATATAAAAGAAAGCATATGAATAGTCAAGTCTATGTATAGTTACTGACCTTAAGGCCTACACTGAAATAACATATAAAATTCAATATTAGTCATGTTCTTTAAAATATCTGACCTCATGTTTGAAAGTTATTGTTAAGCTATAAACCCTGCTTACGAAAGGGTAGTGTTCATTATTTTCCCAGTTCTTTTCACTTGAATCTTATTGTTATTGTATTGTCTATATGTCTCAAATTTTTGTTTACCCTTATTGTGTTTTAAGTAGCACAATTAATTAGTAATAACTGCAAGTAACTACTTCTCATTATTTTCATTGCCACCTTTTTATTTTGAGGAATGATTTTGTAGTATTGAATCCTATCAATAGTTTTAGCAAAAAAATATGCATCTATTATATAACATTTCAAAAAAATTGTCATGGCTAAGTTGTATTTAAACAATACTTTCTAAAATTAAATATTTTTAGCATAAATAATAAACAAAGTATTATCTTAATTGCTCTATTCAATATCAACAGTTTCCTTGTTAACATATTATCTGATGAAATATAGTGGTAAATATCATACATACTCATACATATAGTCAATATTATGTATATCCCAGCAGGGGGTCTAATCTTTTACAGGAAAATCAATACATTTATATTAAAAATAGGTATTTTTTATTTGACACACAATAATTTGTCATAAATGACTGGAACTTAATATTTAAATTACAGTCTTTGTAGTTTTAAGAATTACATTTAGCTACAAAAATGAATATTTAAAATTTGAAAAGTTCATAAGCATTCTAATACTTTTTGCCTTACAAATTTATTCCACTTTTACTTCCAAAATTATAGCTTATAAAAGTTTCTAAATTCCTATTATGGCAAGTGCCCTTTAAAGTCTGCAAAGGAGAGCCAGGAGATTCCCACTATCAATGAAATCTTACGTCACTGATTCTTTGTAATGAAAATTATTCATGGAGCTGCATCAGTATTGTCATAAAAATTTTACTTTATTGATGTTAATTAACTATAAACTAGATCTAGATTCATTGTACTAACAATGAACAGTTTTTTTACTGTTGACATGTATATGATCTAACATGAGCATCTGTTCATACCTAGCTAATCATGGTATTATTATGATGGTAGTTGTATAATAATGCCATCTATGGTATCGAGAAATAGACCCAGTGTGTTGCATCAGCACTATTAATAGAACCTTGTGAGACATAATGCCTTCAAACGAGATGAAATGAAATACAGATGTAGTTTTACATCCTTCTTTTTTCTATCTGAGAGAGTTAATGATGAATATGCACTGTGCAATGAGGCCCTTCACTTCTATTGTTTATATTGTTTTCTTTAAATTGTAGACAAATCTGACATCAACTTTGTTATTTCGAAAAGAGATTCAATTCAGGATATGAAATCAAATCAGCTCCATTTCCCTTTAGCACATAGGTCATAATTGCTTCCGTGATTGAAATATTGTCTAAGGCAATTCCTGAATGTTGTCCCAAGTGAGATTATAAATAAATTGATAGATAGTGTATGTATTTCTGAATTTGCTGTACATGTAGTGAATAAACCTAATCCATGTTATACCTCCTGGTTTTAATGACCTCTGACCACAATGATTTTTTGTTGTCACTTGATAAATATTCAAAATAGAATATTTTCACACTTTAGAAATTGCATGTGGTACAATTCGAGTGCAAATACTCCTTTGTAAAATTGAAAATGATGTATTGGCGAACTTTAAACAGCTCATCATTCTAGAGTTGATATTTCAATTCATATAAAATAATTAGTAAAGTATGATTCAGAAACCACAATATTTTTACAGTAGTTATTACACTGTGTTAATTATTTCATTTCTTAATTCAGAAAATTTTCATTTATTATTCTGAATTGTGACAGACACAAAAACATTTGTGGAACATTTGTGTCGTTATTTAAGTAAAAAAAAAAAAATAGATGACTAATAATTAAAATATGATGTCCATACATATGTTCCATACAGTAATAAAGGAACTAGTGAAACATTAGAAATTAGTAAGGCCAGAATGATGAAAATAGTTGAAATATTTAAGATGTGAGCATAGTTAAAAAGTATTGATTCTATTAGAATGTCTGGAATTTGTACTAATCAATACTTACTACCTTTTGTTAATACTACATCAGGTTTAGTAGAATATTTAAAGGTATCAAGTTTTGTTAGTACTACATCAGGTTACCTTGATGTAGGTTTAGTAGATAATTTAAAGGTATGAAGTATTGTTAGTACTATATCAGGTTGCCTTGATGAAGGTTTAGTACATAATTTAAAGGTATCAAGTTTTGTTAGTACCATATCAGGTTACCTTTATGAAGGTTTAGTAGAATATTATTTAAAGATATCAAGTTTTGTTAGTACAATGTCAGATAACCTTAATGTAGGTTTAGTAGAATATTTAAAGATATAAAGTTTTGTTTGTACAATGTCAGGTTGCTTTAATGTAGGTTTAGTAGAATATTTAAAGATATAAAGTTTTGTTAGTACAATGTCAGGTTGCTTTAATGTAGGTTTAGTAGAATATTTAAAGATATAAAGTTTTGTTAGTACAATGTCAGGTTGCTTTAATGTAGGTTTAGTAGAATATTTAAAGATATCAAGTTTTGTTAGTACAATGTCAGATAACCTTAATGTAGGTTTAGTAGAATATTTAAAGATATCAAGTTTTGTTAGTACAATGTCAGGTTGCTTTAATGTAGGTTTAGTAGAATATTTAAAGATATAAAGTTTTGTTAGTACAATGTCAGGTTGCTTTAATGTAGGTTTAGTAGAATATTTAAAGATATCAAGTTTTGTTAGTACCATATCAGGTTGCCTTGATGAAGGTTTAGTAGATATATTTAAAGATATAAAGTTTTGTTAGTACTATGTCAGGTTGCTTTAATGTAGGTTTAGTAGAATATTTAAAGATATAAAGTTTTGTTAGTACAATGTCAGGTTGCTTTGATGTAGGTTTAGTAGAATATTTAAAGATATAAAGTTTTGTTAGTACTATGTCAGGTTACTATGATAGGTTTAGTACAGTGGTATTTCTCTATAACTGATGTATTTAGCACTATTTTAACAGTGATAATTCTATATTACTCTACAATTGATGTATTGAGCACTGTTTTAACAGTGATAATTCTATATTACTCTACAATTGATGTATTGAGCACTGTTTTAACAGTGATAATTCTATATTGCTCTACAATTGATGTATTTAGCACTATTTTAACAATTGAATTCATGTGTTGAGCACTATTTTAACAGTGGTATTTTCTATCTTGCTCTACAATTGGTGTATTGAACACTATTTTTACAATGGTATTTCTATTTTGCTCTACAATTGATGTATTGAGCACTATTTTGGCAGTGGAAATATTATATTATTTGTAAAATTGATGTGTTATTGTACAAGGCATGTTGTTAAATATCATGGGATTAATCCATTTGAAAATTTGTGGGTTGATGTTTGTCATCGTACTATTTTCAAGATGTTCAACACAGAGAGGTAGAGCATGAAAGAATAGATCCTTGTATAGTTTCAGCTTTTTAACAGGAAGGACTACCCAGGGAAGGTGACATTAATTTAAAGCAGTATAGTCAGTTTTTGCCACAAAACTTTTTGAATGATTGACTACATGTAGATAAGCACCAGACTGTTTCTTACAGGCACCATGAAACATTATTAAATATAACATAATTTCCAACTTATTCTGTCACATAACTGTTTTCTTTCAATATTTTTAATGTGGAGATCATTCACCTCAATAATGATTCAGACATTATAAAAATTTCTTATCAGTAATTTTTATTTAATTATATATCCTTTTGTAAATACAGTGGCGGTCTGACATTTTCTTAACAAAAACTTCATTATTGATTGAAATTTTACTTAATAACCCTCCACTGTAACTCGAGTAGAAATTAATACGTGATGGTAATGGATACTTCTCTCTTTGTCCTCTTTTAATAATTCACAATTTTTTTTACAGATGTGAAGAACTGTTTTTGTATGGAAACACCGAAAAAAAAATGGTACTGTGCTGTGGAAACTGGTGTTGAAAAGTTAAATTGGACAACTGTTTTAGAAGAAGCTATACGTGGTGTATTGAAAAGATGATCTCATAACACCAAGGTCATCGAATCTCTAAGGTTATGCTTGGTGTAGTGTGCATAAACAATATTTATTGTCTCATTTTTCATCATCATTTTATTACATTCCATTACTACTATTTATATTATTACTCTGTATATATCATAACTATATCACATATAAAACCTAGCTCTATATTCTCTCACAGCTGGGCATACGTTTTTAAAAGCATTGAAATAAAAAAAGATATGTTGTCTTTGACATATGAAGGGCTTCAAATGTAGAGCACTTATCATCATTTTTATCAAAAACAATGCACACTACTTTTAGAAAGGATGATTAAAATCAAGTTTGTCCTGTTAAAATATATAAGTTATCTTTAAGGTTGTGATAATAGATAATTGTGATAATACAAACAATGTCTTTCTTCTTTTATAAATAAATTATTAGACTTGTTGTATGAAAACATGTTACTCAGTTATATTCGTGTTAATAAGAATATATGTGTTAGCTGATCTTTAAATTTTGTAATTTCAATGCAGACAAGACCTTGTTTTTTTGTTTACAAACTTGGTAGAAAGATGCTAGATCACTAACTATCCATATTTCGTTTTTTTGTTATCCAAGATGAAAGGTTAGTGTCTAGTTTATCTTAAAGGTTAGTGTCTACTTTATCTGACTTATTTCAATGAAATAATGCAGAACAACCAGTGATCATTATGCATCCATGAAGAGCTCTATGGAAATTAAAAAATGTCCTAATCTAAAAAAATAAGCCGCAGCGGGCATATGTTACCTTGCCTGGCAATCTTTAACTAGTCTGCTCAAAACACAGACAGTAAAATTTTCAGTATATGACATTAAAGAAAGAACAAATGCAGTACATATTGTGTTATTCTATGTATTTTCAGCAGTGTCTCTTTGACATTAAATAAGGTATGTTAGCAACAACATGAACGAAATTTTAATCGGACTTTACTCACATTTACATATATAAGTTGACCAGTCAGAAACCTGATAGGCTTTTATTAAGTAAATATGAACGACATGCAGTATTATGTTTTTCTTATGCAATTTATATATTTATATTTCACACTTATTGAACTTGATGTATGACACATAATTATTACATAATGTTTATATTACAGTATTATTTTTGATATATTATATTTCCAATTTTTTTTATTTCATTTGATATATTTTTATCAGTATTTTATTGTGATTATTATTAATTTCTGTCATTTTTGTTAAATGTTTAACATGTTGTTCTAAATATATATATATATATATTAGTATGGGCCTGTCTTCATGATGTTTAATGGGATTTTGATTCCAGTCTCATCCTCAAGATCAAGAATCTATTAGTTTGAACAGGTTTGTCATTGCATTTTCACAAGCATTTGTCATTTAACAAAAATTTCATAAAGGAGAAAATTTATCAATTACATACGTGGCAAAACCATGGACTTGCAGTTTATTGACTAAAGCTCTATAATGTATAGGACACAGTATATAGAAATGAACTTTATTATTTACAGGTTGATTATACAGGATATAGACCTGTACTTGATATAGACGAAATCTGACGGTATTATATAGACATGGAACTTTATACCATACAGGACATAGTCACAAGTTTTAGAACATACAGAGAATACTTATAGAACCTAAACATTAACTTTATAGCATATACTTTATAGAAATAGACCTGAATTTTATAACACAGGACAAAACTTACAGAACATAATCGAGAACTTCATAACATATAGGACTATACATAAAAAAATAGACCTGAATTTTATAACACAGGACAAAAATTACAGAACATAATCGAGAACTTTATAACATATAGGACTATACATACAGAAATAGACTTGAATTTTATAACACAAGACAAAAATTACAGAACATAATCGAGAACTTTATAACATATAGGACTATACATACAGAAATAGACTTGAATTTTATAACACAAGACAAATATTACAGAACATAATCGAGAACTTTATAACATATAGGACTATACATACAGAAATAGACCTGAATTTTATAACACAGGACAAAAATTACAGAACGTAATCGAGAACTTTATAACATATAGGACTATACATACAGAAATAGACCTGAATTTTATAACACAGGACAAAAATTACAGAACATAATCGAGAACTTTATAAAATATAGGACACAGGACAAAAATTACAGAACGTAATCGAAAACTTTATAACATATAGGACTATAAAAAGGACAAAACTTACTGAAAATAATCGAGAACCTGAATTATATATCATACAGGACAAAACTTACGGAACATAGACATGAGTTCATAATATAAAAACATAATAAAAACATACAGGACAATACTTTAATAATAAAAACATGACATTTATAACATAAGGACAATACTAATACTTATAGAATATAGACAGGAACTACATATTTCATACAGAACAATATTATACAATACATAAATTAATGTATTAAAAGTGCAGAAATTACATAAAAACTTGCCATCAGTCAGACCATTGCGAGTATTCCAATTTGATCAAAACCATAAAATTTCGCATACATTTTGTCTAAAGAAATTGTTTAGTTTTTTTTACATCAAAATTTTCATTTCATATCATATTATGGTTTTGAAGTAATTCATTTTCAAATTTTTATAAAGTGTGTTAAAGTATGATTTAGAATTCATTGACCCAGTTTCTTATAGGTCGGTAAGTAGATCTAAGGGGCTTGTGTTTGAGGCGCAGTTTTGTATAGTTCTAGACGGTTACCCGATTGCACTATAACAAATAGCCATATAATATGTAAGCCTTAGGTGTAGGCCCTATATTATCTATTTGAAAAGAAACCAGATTTTGTAACTAAATTGAAATGTTCATTATAATCCAGATAAATATTTTTTGGGATTGTTAGTATTAATTCAGTATTTGAGAGTGTCCAACTGCATGGTAAATGTTTGTATAGTAGGAAGTCGCATTAGTACCTGTATGATGATTATCCTAGTTCAATATAAAATTATTAATGTGGCTAGATAAAAAAAATGATAACAATTCATTAATCGAAAAAAACGATCTGTTAATGAGTTTATTTCAGTATCAATGATCTTGATAATAATGTGTTAATGAATAAAAACTTTTTAATAATCGTTATAATTTTCTGAATGTGCCAGTCAGTTGAAGAGTATGTTCATTGCATTGCATCACATTGTCTGTCATTCTGATCACAGAAATAGTCTTGTTTTTAGGCTACACAGCGTGTTTGGATACTATCATTATTTCGTATAGGCCTAAGACTGAGTTTGAGATAGTAAACATTGTATTATCTGACTGAGGTTATAAATATTTAGAATGTCGCGTGATTTTCGAACTGGGCAATCAAGACGGGTTACATGTGATTTGTTTTGTAAATATGAACATATGCACGACAACTTATGATTATTAGGCCTATACGAGTTCGAGAGTCTCTCTCGAATTATTGAAGGTCGTTTTAGTTAGTAAATATAGATACGAAGCTACTTAGATAAAGTGAACCACGATATCTGTTTTGATGAGGGTGAAACGACGATTCTTAATTTATGACTCAGCCAGAAATTATGGTACTCAATAAAATATTTATGCAACCTTAATAATAAACTTTTCATTTTCTATGTCCGCTACGCTTCTTATAGGCTAATTACAAAGTTTCGAATTTTCCATAATCTTTTGAATAAGCTATTTAATTATTTTGTCTTCAGGTTACAACTAGAATTTAATGACCTGCTTGTTAGAATTGGAATTAATAGGTTCCGGTCAGATTCGGAATATTTCGATAATCTAAGCAGAAATATTATGGTTGCTACCGGTACCCGATAAAATATGTATGCAACATTACTAATAAGCTATGTATGTACTATTTAGGCTACTCCGCCTGGATGACATCTGTCTTAAAAGATCTTTCTATAATAAAGAAGTCTCAGACTATTTCCAAAAGCTTTCATTTATGACTAAGCTAAAATGATTTTGGTACTGGTACCGATAGAATATTTTATGCAATCTTAAAATTACGCTATTCTTTACTATATGTCATCCCACCTGGATGAAATCCGTCAAAAGAGATAAACCGCCTTAGAGTAGAGAGTAGGCCTATCTAGAAGTAGATAGATATATATATATACTCTATATAGATCATATATTATACTCTCGGCTTAGAACTAAGAAGTTTCGGACTATTTTCATAATGACTGCCAGAAATATTATTATGCCACCTCAATAATAAGCTATTTATTTACTATTTAATCCGGCGGATAGAACTCGATAGAATCCCCTGATATAATTAATGAGGTGAAGGGTCACTGAAAGTGACCTGTTTCTTTTACAATCTATTGGTTAGAATCTAGAGGTGTCTTAGATGGATATACTTTCATTCAAATGTACTCAAATAAAGTATGAATAGCTGAAATGAATTATCGAAATTTGGAATTAAGTTAAAAATTTGGCAATTCGGGCTTTCACAGAAGAAAATTGAACTATATTTGTGCAAGGAAGAGTACAAGAAAGCACAAACTTGGCTCACCCGTGATTAAAACCCAGATTCTTTTACGTTAAAATTCTGGTACATTCGAGTGTATTCGTACCAAATGTTTTCGCCTAGTGTCAGCTGATTCGTTCTTCCTTTATTCACGCATGCTTACTTCATCTACCGGCGAAACTGTGTCAAAATGGAATTATAAAGTGGAAAGTTGAGAAATTTCGATTAAAGCAAGTGGACATTTCTATGCATTTCGCTAAAATTGGTTGAGTAAGTGCGCTGTTTTGTTACTGGATTGGTAATTGGAGTGTCAATGTTCATGAAAAAATCGTCTGCAAACAACGGGTTATTGAGCTACATCCTTTCTATTTTTAGATGCAAAGGTTACCCACAAATTCGGTTTTGATAGTCCTAGTGCAATATAGGACTTTGTACAAAACAAAAAGATAAGACCTTTAATAGGCTATAATAGACTTTTAATTTGTGTGTTATAAAACATTTGGTTAAAATTGTTCAAGGACCCAAATACTAGTAATCATTGCAGGTTTGAATGGCAGATGTCAACAATATTCCTGATAGGGAATCTTTACTGTTTTTCAATGTTATTGGGTACAGGGACCCAATTGACAGGAAGAAAGGTTTGGATCACATATCTCGGATATTTAAAACATGGATTGATGGGTATGGCCAGCACCATGAACCTAGCGTTATTAATGGAATTGGTGGAAGGAACCGTCTAGTGGAATATTTACCAACATTATTAATGTTGTCTTATCAATGTCCTTTTGAGGATGTTTGTGAGACTTGCCGTGCAATTCTTAATGACATTAAGGTATGTATATTTGCATCTCTTCTGATGACTGTAAGAGGTGGATTTCTATAATTTTTTAATTTAATGTCAATGAAATGACCAATTCTTTGATCATAAAGTTAGGAAATAATATATCTTGATATTCCATTCCATATCTTCTGTGGAAGTCTCCAGGTATCATCTACGATCCAATGAAATTATTCTGCAATCCATGTTCTAGGTCACAAAATATTGAGCAAATCAGATGCTCTTAAAATAAATTACTATGAAAAATAATGGCATATATTATTAAACAATGGCTCCGTAATGTCAACTGACTTTAAATAGTGTGATCAATTGGTCAGTTAGTAAGCTTATGATTATATTGATATCTTTATTGCTAAATATTAGACCATACATTATCAATGATGAACATCAAGATCATAAATCTGAGCACCCACCAGTAGGAAGTGCATGCCCATCACATTTCAAGAGTTCATACAGATGATTCTGTGATTGATGAGATTTGTTATGTAGGATGATAAAAAAGAGTGGGCAGAAAAAATAGGTTTAGAATGAAAGGTAGTCGGTGAATGTCATTCTAACTTGAGTTTATTACCAGTCATGTAGATGTGGGGTGACAGGGTTGGAGACCTACACTAGACATTGTTAACCATCAGTCATGTCAGTTGATGTGTCAACCAGATAAGTAGAAAACATGATAACTTATCTTTCTTTATATAATGTTAATCGATCAAATCACTAGTCATACAGATGGCTGATACTGTCCAGAAACTTGAAAAAATGTTCTGGTATGTCAGAGAAGAAACAATGTCAAAAGTTACATGTGCCTCTCTTTGAGGCTTATAAAAGGTTACAGTACAAAGGTAAAAAAAATGTACTATTCTATTACAACGTAAAGTACCGGTACATATTTAATCGCAGTGTAATTTTAAAAACATTTTTTTCAAATTTGGTCAATTAGCATATATTTTTAAACACACGATGGTTTCATAGCAAGATCCCTTTGACATTAACAATAGAGGGTTAAACTTTGCTAGTGAAAGTCTCCTATATTTTGTGCATTCAGTAAAGACTAGGCCAGACAAACTGTGTCTGTAGTTGAATGAATAATACAATTCTACATTACAAAAGAAAAGAAACTCAAACGTGAAATTTAATATGTAATATGCTAGAGGTAAAGCCATAAAACCTGTTGCCACTTATGATTATTATTTTGGTTGCACACATTAAGATTTAGCATTTACACCGCAAAACACTTTTAGATTTATAGTTGACCTCATAAATGTAAAAAAAATAGACCTACTAATAAAAATAGACTAGTACTGCAAAATCATCTTGACCTTGACTTGATTTATTTAAAATCAGCCGGATAGAACATAGCTCTAACAATAACCATGATGTAACAATCTCATGTTTTACTGATTCAAATGTTTAATTTAATATTTATTATGCAATAGAAATCTAGTATATTTATTAAGACTATGTATTCAATATATTTATTTTACAAGTAAAGAGAATATTTGCGTGATGCAATGAAATTGTGAAAGCCCATTTCAGAACCTTCTATCTAACCTAAGGCTTACAATGTGTATGTAATTAGTTGATGGACCTGACCTCTTTTTTCCTTGTCAGTGATGCAGGTCAATTGGGTTGACGTAAAAAATGTCAAGTTTTTTGGATGAGACAATAAACTGAGGCACTGTGTGCAGAAGGTTTATGACCTTTAGATCCTTCAACTGTTAGCTAATGGCAAAATTGCATACTGTATTGGTGATGCCAGTCTTTCCATGCCCATTTAGATGCAGAAAGTAGTGACGTGAATCTCCATGTCTTTTCTAAATCTCACTGTGAACAGATTTGGGGTATCCAATCCAGTACTTTGTAATCCATTCAAAAAAATTCTTTTATATAACTGTTACGTTTTTCCATTTTTTCTATTGAACTGTATAGGAGACATTAAAGTTGGAGTTACCCAGAAAGATTGGTGGTGGTCCCAGCCGTTTTGTACCAGGTTCTGAGGTAAGTTGATGCTTAGTTTAAGGTAAAATGATTCAATGTCTACAGGCTGTTGACATGTTTTCAATGTGCAACAGATACAATGATGAAGCTAATTGAAAAACAGAATTTATCTTGGTATTAATAGATAATGCCCAGTAGAACTAGAGTAAAATTCCTAGTTTGAGATATTTTTGAAGAAATTATGCACAATTCAATTTGGTGAGGATCCGATGATTTCTTGAGAAATATCGCATAAAACTGATATCGTGTTTTTTCACTTTTTTGGCTCGTGCTCATCCTACAGGCTAAGATATAGAGTTTGTTTTACAGTTCACATTTAGCTGTTTAACAAGCTGCTGGTGAGAGTATTTGCTTGCGAGACTTGCTGCAAGCCTATGTTTGTACATTTCTGGTACATTTGAAGACTACATATTTTCAAGACTTAAATCAACCACCCAAAATGGCACATCTGTCCCTTTAAGAGTAGTTTGAAACATCAAATTATATAAAAGAAATACCAGGTGTTTCCCCACTTATTGCAACATCAACTTATATAAAACCAATTTTTTTTTGTGCTCTGTAATTGATTGTCTTTATTAATAGTTTAATTACTTGTGGTACAATATTTATATTGCATTGATATCAGTTCTCAAGAAAAACTTTTAGAAGAAGAGAGTGTAACCGACTTATCTAAATAAAGATCTGACATATGTTTCACCTTGAAAGTGGTAAAAATGAACAATTGAAACTTGTGTTGATAATTTGCCTGCCCAGCGCTTTATTGTTATTGTAACAAGTATTGATGACTGATACTGAAGCAGTCAGCACACTTATTAGGTCTGCTTTACTTCATTACATGCAAAAATGGATTTGGAATATCTATTTTGAAAAGTGTTAATGGTAGCTAAAACCAAGTTACTACTCAATTGTATTAAGTGACTATAACTTGAAAAATTTTAAAATTATACTTCAAGTTGTTATTACCAACCTATTGTGTTTGATAAAATAGGTGTAAAAGAAAGGTATTCAAAGTTTATGCTTCAGAAGCATTTTAAACAGTATGACATAATAACAGTTATATTATCACTTAGCTGAAAAATAAATAAAAGTTAACTTGGGTCAATACAGCAGAAGAACCATAAGGTGACTATTAGATAATGGCTTACCTAATCTTACATTAGATGACATCATGTAAGGATAATAAGTTATTGAACAATGTGTAAATTCAGGTGAACAAAGTGTGACCAATATGTCCATTCCCATTCATTACACCATCATCAACTAATAGACCTCTGGAGAAAGTGACAAGTCAGCAGATTTTTTTTACTAATGATTTAGAGTCAACTGTGAAGTCCTTTTATAACATACGAAAGTGGACACATTTCTGTCAGGCCATTTTTTGATGGTGCAAATATTGTCAAGAGTGCAAAATACTAAAATGAAATTGTTTTTGAATAACTCAATTCAAACCTAAATCATTTTGAACAAAGTGAAATTTATCTAAGCTATATATTAGTCTAGGTTTTGATGCCTGCACTATGAGTTGGCAGTAAACAGAAATATATATATAGGAATAAAAACTTTACATCGTAGAATTGTAAGAATCACATTGTAGCTTGTTAGAGTGCACATTGCATTGTAGCTTGTTATAGTGCACATTGCATTGTAGCTAGTTATAGTGCACATTGCATTGTAGCTAGTTATAGTGCACATTGCATTGTAGCTAGTTATAGTGCACATTGCATTGTAGCTTGTTAGAGTGCACATTGCATTGTAGCTAGTTATAGTGCACATTGCATTGTAGCTAGTTATAGTGCACATTGCATTGTAGCTTGTTAGAGTGCAAATTGCATTGTAGCTTGTTATAGTGCACATTGCATTGTAGCTAGTTATAGTGCACATTGCATTGTAGCTAGTTAGAGTGCAAATTGCATTGTAGCTAGTTATAGTGCAAATTGCATTGTAGCTAGTTATAGTGCACATTGCATTGTAGCTTGTTAGAGTGCAAATTGCATTGTAGCTAGTTATAGTGCAAATTGCATTGTAGCTAGTTATAGTGCACATTGCATTGTAGCTTGTTAGAGTGCACATTGCATTGTAGCTTGTTAGAGTGCAAATTGCATTGTAGCTTGTTATAGTGCAAATTGCATTGTAGCTAGTTATAGTGCAAATTGCATTGTAGCTAGTTATTATTCAATTCAAATTCCAGATTGTTGTTCAATTCAAATTTCACATCGTGAATAAAAACCAATAACTGACTCCTAACTGTCAAAATGCATGTAACTAGAAAATTTAATAAAATAAAAAATCAACTATAATGAATATGCGTGAAAAGAAAAGTTGAAGTAAAAACCTTGAACCAGTCCTACTGTTACATTCTAAAAAAAATTTCTAGAAATGTCATGCTAACTGGAAATTATTTTTGTTTAGACTTTTAAGTTTAGCCAAGTCAAAAACAGAAACGCAATAATTGCAAAACAAGAAATTTGGTAACTTCTTTGGCATAAACACAGTTACTGGTATATCGGTATATATTTATTAAAGCAAGTTTGACTGTAGAATTTATTTTAGGAATAAATGTACACAATTAAATCTATGTTATCTTAAACACAGTATACAAGATACATATTGAAGAGTAAAATGATAAAACCATTGTACCATCTTTGTATAGTAAAGGTTATGTCAGAAAAACATGTCAAAGTGTGCTTCATCACTTGGTTTTATTTACTTTAAAATGCAATGGCGTTGTTGTATGAGCCATGATTATTGAATTGAAGTCCAATTTATACATGTGAAATCAATATTGGTCGAATGATACCTCAAATGGTCCATGTGTCTGAGCAAAGTAAGAATTTGTTTTAAATTTTGTGCATTATTTTTATAAGAATTGGAATAGCAGCATGAAAATAGTTCTGGTAGTCTTGGAATGTCTTGTGTTTATAACAGTATAAACATGAGCACATATTATGTCTTTAAAATTTGTTTTTACAGTGGACAATTTTTAGCCAAATTTGTGATATGTTTCTTTTCAATATAAACTTAAAAAAATCACATTTTTATGAAAACAAAGACATTGTAAGACTAGTATTACTATATGGTGATATTCTAATTCTTTGACAAAATATAAGAAAAATTTAAAAGTCATAGATAAAGATATTAGAATACCTGAACTAAATAATAGTAGATTTATTGTGCACTTATTTTGCACTTTTACTTTCATATGCAATTGAATTTAATGCAGTCAGGTTATGTTCTAATTCTAGACTCATTGAATAAGATACACAGCCAGGTTAGTGAGGTGTGTGGTTCCTTATAAAAATAAAATGTCTTCATTTGATAGTGTCACCATTGAAATATTCTCATAAAGAACATCAATTATTTGACAAAGTTTATAATGGAAGCTTTTTTGAAAGAGAAAAGTTCTGGACCAATTCATCTCTAATTTTATTGTCCACTTGCACTTTTACTTTCATATGCTTTTGCTTTTTGCTTTATAGTGCAGTTAGGTTAAGTTCTAAATTTAGACTCATTGTCTAAGATACACAGCGGGATTTGTGAAGGAGTGTGGATCCTTGTAAATAAAAAATTTCCATAATACATTGAGATCAATTAATAGTGTCACCATTGAAATATTCTGATAAAAAACATTATTTGACAAAGTTGATAGTGGAAGCTTTTGTGAAAGATAAAGGTTCTGGAGCAAGTCATCTCTAATTTTAGCCAATCAATATCAGTGTTCAGGCAACCTACCTAGTTTTTAACCAATCAGAATTCAGCTCCAAACTTGACATGACCTTTCATATTATTTGCTAATACAGTACAAGGTTAAGGTTGTTATTGTTTTATATATTTGAGAATCACTTGAACGAATTCAGAAACCTAAAATTCCTGGAGCTATGAACAGTAAAAACTAAGGAAATAGATTCTAATTAATATTAATATTATTATGATTATACTTGATAATATGAAGTTAATAGCAGATGAAGCTTGTCTTTGTTGTCAGGTAAATCTATTCATTTACCTTAAATCATACTGCATCTTCACCTCATTATTTATGCATGTTATGCACAAAATTATGCACTTTAAATACACAAGAGAAAAATTTAAATTTGTATGTAAACACATGATAAGACATTTAACAGCTTTTTAAAGCCACTCAATTTCAATCATGCATAGACATTTTAAATAGCTACTTAATACCTCTAAAATAGGCCTATAGATAAAAAGAGAAAAAAAAAGAAAAGAATTTATACTGAGATCAACTTTTAATTTTTTTTTATTTTTTCCATTGATTCATCAAAATTATCATCATAAAAGTCATCATAAAATTTTGAATGGTGTTAAAAAGCAAACATACATTATTTTAAGCTGAAGATTCGTGATAATTCAATTAACTTTATGGTGTAAATGTGTTAAGATGGGTTTAAAAAAAAGTCAAGATTCCTTAACGATGAAATAAACAAGGAGGCTACTTCTTGGCAAAATTGTCCACATTGCATTGCCAATAAGGAGCTTAAATTAAATTTCATTTCATTGATTCATTTAGAATTAACATAAACAACAATAATTATTGTCAAGTTAACAATGATTTTTTCATCACTAATCATTCTGTCGTTAGGGTGTGGTCCGTGGGTGCTGGGCCCCAGCAAGTGAGAATTAAGCCCAAGCAAAATCAGCACAAAAGAGATTGGTTCATTTACAGTGTCTTTGTACAAAAGGATTTTGATAGGTTTTTGGCACCCCAAAATTGTCGGAAATAAGTTCTCCGGGGCTTTAATTCTTGAAATTTTCAGATTCAAAATCTGAGCCCCAGCACCAATTCATTCCTGGCGATGGGGCTGTCCCTAATGAAGGCTATTTCATGAGTTTAATGTCCAGTTATTGTCATATTGTAGACAAACGAGCAGCTGTGACCTTTTGTTCAGGACCAGTTTGACTGTCCAATTTGTTAAAATCTTTCACCCTATTAACTCTGAAGTCATTATCAAAGAGTAAAAGAGGAAACATATCTTTATATATCCTTTTCAATGACATTTCGTGATTTCTATGCTTCATACATTGTCCCCTGAAACTATGCTCAAGATTATGTGTCATGAAGACTTTTCTATGCCTTGCATTTATTATCATATCATTAATAAGCATAAGGTAAAGAACAGTAGTCTAGAAATTTCATTATATAAAATATTGGTAGTCTTTGATAAGATTACTAAAAATGTTATATGTCATTAAAAAGCTTTTAAAAGTAAAAAAGTAATAAATAAGTGATCAACATCTGACAAAAGCATGGAGCAGAGGTCACTATCTTTTTGTGGGGGCTACTTTACACAATTTTTTTTGTCTGATTTTTTCCTGTTAAAACTTACTAGGTTTGTTCCAGAAACTGACAAAGTTTACTGTCAATATTGACTTAATTTTCTTTTAATGAATATATTAACAGTGCTTAAGTAGGCAACTTAGATTATTATTAGGCATTGGTGTTACACAGAAGTTGTTATTAGGAACACAGAAGTTGTTATTAGGATCATTGCTAATCACTTGGAATTAAAAGCTTAACAGAGAATTTTAATACGAGGCAAATCTAACTAATTAACCCTATACATCTACTATATGATGATTAAATTCTTTCAATTAGTCGTTGGCAACCATGAAATGCTCATTTTATAGTGCCGTGTAGATTTAATACTTTGAGTGAAACTTTTAAAGTGTTGGCAATTCTAACAGCGGAAAACTGGCATGTTATAATGGTGACCGTCTGCCAAGCAGTTGGACATGACGACAGTTCATAAGGAGACTGATTTAACCTTTAACACACATCCACGCCACTAACAATGTAAATTGTCACTTTATAGGATCGTTAAGAAAAATAATTCCGATCTTATGTAATTGCAGATTAATCTTTTTCGTTTTGTGTTGATATTAGTTACTAAACAGGCACCTGCTTTGATGACGTCAATGGGGCGTAAACTCCACTTGATTGACATATGTTAATATATTCACGGGTCATAGGTCAGGGAAGCCACAGTCAGCTGATATCTAACAAAGGAAGCCGACAGTCAGTTATCGTCTGCCCAGTGGAAAGGTCGTTCATTGGATAGAGAATGAAAATTTGCAAATAAAGGACTTTATAGTAAAATATTTTTTTTCAAAATGATACCTGTCGAGGATATTGCACCTAAAGAAGCCTTTATTCAAAGCGGATATTCAGTAAGTGTGACCTCGATCTATGGCTGTGGCTTGTACTCTTACGCTTGGCTTAGGTTAGGTAGGCTGTCAAACGAAATGAGACTTCGCATTTTGCTTATTTATCATCTATTTAAATTTTATTTCTTATGTAAATACATTGCAAAATAGGATAAATGAAATGGAAAACCAGAAGAGTTTCTTTTAGGCTAGTAGACTAAAGATACACGACAATCGAACAAATATTATGAATGACAGAAAAATTATCCTCCCGGTAGGCTTACGTCAAGAGTGTGCCGGTGACAATACTAGATAGACAAAATAATTAAGAATAGATCTATTATTCCTTTGAGAAGTAAATGGTTGTTATCTTATGAAATGATTAAAATATTTGGACACATTCAATGGTATCACCTTCTTTGTTTTTGGTATTTGATGGGGACAGAAAAGCATAGACCATTGAATTGCAAATACTGTAAACATTGATTTATCTTTCAGGTTGTCCCTGTATCCACAGACGATGAAAAAGTAAGTTGAATTATGTTTTTTTTTGCTTCCAATACTACATGATTGTTATTATCATGTAATTCTTTGGTAGAAGGAGGTGTGATTTGCATGCTGATGCAATACAAAGCCAATCACTTCTACTCTAGTATACATGATATGCTGATGAAATACATAATTTGTTTGTGTAGGGGTAAACCATAACAAATATTTATTGAAGTCATGTCATCCTGATTTTAAATTTTGATCGATCAGGTTCCATTAAAATGTATAGCTCATCTGATGCTGGAAGTGGAAAGTTTTCATCATGAATATTAAGTAATAAAGGAAGATAACTCTTCCAAGGTTATTTTCCATCAAGATAATCATTATTATTCTCTAAGGTCTGAAGAAGAAATTGAAAATTTTATTTTGAGGTGTTAGTTTGAATCTGAACCTGTTTAAGTTTAACTGTCAAACAGTTTGACCTTAAATCAACATTGATTGTTCTTTCTAAAGCTGTCTGACAGTTTCTAACTACATAGAGACATGATTGTATGAGATCTAAAAATAGCCTCATTGTATGATATTCATTGGTTGAGAGATGGGGATGTGATATTTTTAGTTAGGTGAAACCCTCAGCTGATCAACTATCTGGATTAAAATCGGCATTTTTGATTGAAAGATAATACTTTTAAATTGATATTACCTGCTAAATCAAATTATGACTTCATAAATTCAAAAGCAATTTAAGTATAAATTAAAATGTATGGAAAATTAATTCCATCGTGATAACTCACAACAACAATAATCAATGTGCTATAAATCTTTGACTTTTGTCATTGCAGACCAAGTTGCTTTTTATGGACGCTTTCATCCAGAATAACCGAGTACCTAATATTATACAGTTAATGTCCTATCATCCAGACTATCTTGATTGTTTCTTAAAGACCCAGCATTATCTTCTTCATGAGGATGGTCCATTACCATTTGATTATAGGCATTATATAGCCATAATGGTAAGTATGAGACAGTTTTTTCTCTGTGAAAATCAAAGTGGCTTCTTTAGCCCAAGTTATATTTGAATTTAACTGGCAAATGTTATGATTTGTTAAAACATTACTTTATTTGCTGTATAGAAATTTATAGAGAAAGTGTTAGATAAAAAGAACAAAACCAACACTTTAATATAAACATTTTCCCTTTGGCCAAATTCATTTCATCAGGTGTTAAATTATGTATAATTTATAATTTTATAGGCATGTGGTAGACATCAGTGTAGCTATCTTATCAAGCTGCAGGCACAAGAATTCTTATTGCATGGTGGAAATGCTGACTGGTTAAAAGGAATTGATTACATTCCTCAAAAATTGAAAGACTTCCTTGAAATAAACAAAATATTGGCTCACAGACCATGGTTAATTACAAAAGAACATGTTGAGGTAAAGAAAATTTTTTTTACTTGAAATGTATGGCTGAATGCATTTATGATATTATTTATCATAGACACATATTTAAAACAACAATACTTAAATGTTCCTATGTTTTATTTTTGTATCTTCTTTAAGATCACATAGGGTGTAACTGTGATTAATAACATGTTTCTGGTTGTGTTTTAATATTTCTACTATAACCTTAAAATAATGTGATAAATATTTTCTTTCTAGAAATTAATAACAGGCAAAAATCGCTGGAGTTTATCAGAATTGACCCATGCCATTATTTTATGCACACATTTCCATGCTCTTTCAACGTTTGTGTTTGGATGTGGACTAAATGATGAAATTGACTTTGCCAATGGTCACACTTTCTCACCAAGTTATGTAGATGATAATGATAATTATTCTAGTGATAGTTCAAATGATGTAAGTATTAGAATCATCAATAGATTTTTCTTATTTTCTCAAGTTTCCTTAAATTGAAATTATGGTATAAAGAAAAGTAAACTTTGGGGAACAACACAGTATAGAATAAACATTAATAAACTATGTTGGTTTAAATAAGAGATTTAAATTTTGTGTATTTAAAATAAAGATTGATTTCACTTCCTTTTTAAATGTTTTTCAGGAAAACATCAAGTGGCATTTTCATGACATAAAGTAAACTTTCTGTGTACTCTATGAAATGTCATTCTTATGATTCTTCCCTATAATAACATTAGAATTGTGACATTAATAATAATAATATTGTTCTATTCCAGTCTAAAGATGATGAGGGAAGTTTGCGAGCTTTAATGGCACGTATGAAAGAATTGAGTGAAAAGAAAGAGGAAGAAGAGCTTACTGTAGAAGAAAGATTAAAAGAATTTGCTAAAGTTGAAAGTTTAAGTGCTGAGAGTAAGTATTTCTTGATTGGGATTTTTTTAAGGCATAATAAGGCATAATAAAATTACAACATACATATTCATGTTTACATAAGAAATAAGTACATATAATATTAAAACAGAACTTTAAAAGTTCTCAGGAGTGTAACTTGTAACATGTTTCAGGTTCTGTTTAAATATTTCTCTACAAATGTTGTATTAAGCACTATCTAATTGTGACAATATTTTGTCAGTGTAAGAAATAAGTAATATTAGATGTGGTATTGATAATAAAATCATGATTGATATCTAAACAAAATGATTGTATTTTATATTTTAGTTGCCACCAGTCAAAAAATTCCATCTCCAAGTGCTGATGTACTGCGTTATGTTGAAGATCCAACATTTGCATACACTGATTTCGCTACAAGGGAGTCAGTTATGGAAATTCCCTCTTTTCGAGCTAATGAATATTCATGGGAAGAACATGGTTTTTCACTGGCTAATAGGTTATATAGTGATATTGGTTCATTACTTGATGATAAATTCAATATGGCCTACAATTTGACCTATTACACGTAAGTAGATTAATCAGTATTCAAGTTGTGTAATTATCTAATCTTGTTAATTGATTTACCAATAAATCACTTAAATATTAATGTTCAGCATGATTTTTTAAAGAGGCTATCTCAGATTGAAATAGAAATAATAATTTTTGTTGGTTAAAATGTATGGCACACTTACATAAAAATGATAGCACAAAAGTTTAAGTACATATGAGTCCACCCATTGACATTTTGAATCTGTTGTTTTAGGATGGGAGACAATACTCAAGTAGACACGTCCTCGTTTCGTAAAGCAATCTGGAGTTATATTCACACAATGTATGGAATCCGTCATGATGACTATAAATATGGTGAAGTAAATCAGTTATTAGAAAGAAATCTCAAAGCTTACATCAAAACAGTTACCTGCTATCCAGAACGATTAACAAAGAAAGATTATGATGGTGTAATGAGGGAGTTTAAACATTCAGAGAAGGTAAGTTACTAGAAGATACAATATATGTATTCACAATTTTTCAAAATGAAAACATGAATCTAAAAACTGTAACAGGATCACTGCATGAAATTCCATTTAAGGTTTTTCTATGTAAAATGATAATATGTTCATAATGTTCATTTATATTTTCAGGTACATGTTAATCTGATGTTATTAGAAGCCAGACTACAGGCTGAACTGTTATATGCATTGAGAGCCATAATGAAATACATGACGTGAATTTACGATAGAATATATAAATGTGTTTCTATCATAATGTCTTCATCATAAACCATGATGGTTGAGGAAAAGTCTAGCGAAGAATGATGTGAGGTGTATTTATATGGGAGAGAGTCAGTGATAGGACAATATGAATAGATATTATGTGGAGGTTATTATTATGTAATGTTATTACAGTGTTAAATCTAGTCAGTATAACCTCCTCATTACAGTGTTCTATCATTATATAGTTTGTTCAATCCATCCAAATTATGCCAGTTTGAACTGTTTATAATAATGTGTGTTACCTGTTAAAAGGACTATGATCCTAGCGACAAGGTATATCTGTGATAGATATTATAAGTACTACTGTCAAACGAGGCTTGGTGCATTATTTCATGTATAATTGTGATGTTTGATAGATGATGTATGGTTGTGAATATTTGAATGTATACATATAAAAGATTAAACCACATCCCAGTGGAGATAAACAGTGTACGGTGAACAATAGACTTCCAAACATTACAAACACCATCTTCCAATATCATATCATTAACAACTTAAAACTAGCTTTTGTTCACTTGCTTCTCTGTACTCTGTAAGTCACAACCATATTAAACACATCTTTCCTGTGTAATATATATTTAGTGCTATATAATATTCTGCATGTCCAACCAAATTTCAAATGAAATTGAACAATTTCTTGCCTTCACAGAAATTCATGACATCAAAATATTTTTGACAAAATAGAATCTTGTATGGGTTCACTTTGTTTGCAAATTTTTCTTGCTCTTTTTCCATTGTACCTTACAAATGTCTTGCCAAAGTTTGACTAATATAATTGAATACTACCTATTTTATGAGCATACCCGGACACAATTCTATAGCATGTAGAAAGTCTATTTTGTGATATTTGTGTATAATATTTTTTACTTGTTAACTGATGATTGTGGATAACTGTTGATGATTTACAGTTAACCGACCATTCCATTTAAAAAGGTTTTTAATTATTTTAATTATTTTTCTGCATGTGAATTTGATTTACAGTTGTCTAGTTCAGAACTATTTTTTCTATTTTGTGTTTCTATACAAGCTAAAATGTCTGCTGACATACTGGTTTTTCATGTTTTTTTTAGCCTGAGTTAAAATCAAAAAGGAGTTCTAGACTTGACTAGTCATCAGTATTGTAACAATGGAATACTAGAGAATAATTCATCATTTATTGTATGACTGTTATATAAAAAAAAAGTATAATTGTTTTAAATCTGATATTTTAAACTTGCACAAAATACCAACTTTGTTGAAGAATCTCTGCTTTCATTATATGTAGCAAATGTTATGTCTTTTGTATGTTATGTATTATTCCAATTGTTGCAGTTTATTTTCATTTCTGTTAATGAAATGCTAAGCATTTATTACTGTTATTTCCTTGTTAAAGTAATAAATATATTATTCTATTTGAATATGATTACTAATTGCAGAACAAATTTAAAAGTTCCATCTTGGCAATTAAAGGGACAGGTTCGCTATAAGTTTGACCAATCCTACCTTTGTCTCAGAAAAGGGAATTTGTAAAGCTAAGCTTATCAGTAATAGTGTCAAAAGTTCATTGTCAGAATTTGAAACTTTGTGTCCAGAATTATCTGTGTTTGAAAGATAAAAAGACTAGTCTTTTCTCGATACAAATAGAAAAGAATTTGCAAATTTGTATATTTCAAGATCCAAATCAGCTCCTGAAAATCTAGAACTTTGCCCTTAAGCAGTCTTGTCTAGACTTTTTGGTGCAAAATTTGAATGGAATTAAAACTCCTTTTTAAAGTTTTATGAAATGAATGAGACTGCTGAAGGTATCAATTTGATATTTTACGATATTGTGGATTTATTCAATCTGTGCAATGAATTTATATATATTATGATAAATATCAAAATGAAATTTGTTGTGACTCTATACTATAATAATCCTAGATTAGTAGAAATGAGGCATTATAAATGTGAAAAAAGACCCAATGAATATTGTTACAGTATTATAACATTTAACAATACCACATAATGATTTAAATCACAGTCAAACAGTTTTCTTATATTGTGATACATTGCTTTAATAAACTGAGAAAAATATATTTATTGTGATGTTTTGTTCATAAAGGGATTGGTTAGGGCAAAGTTCTATTAAGGTATGAAGTTAATATTATACGACTGGTTCAATAATTAGTAATGGGATAAACGTAGCAAAAATTATATTTGAAAGAGCCTCTAGCAAGAGGATTTTTCTTTTTATAATGGACAAGTTGTAACCCCAAATTGATCTTGCAAAATTTAAGTTCTTTAGGCATTATTTTCGAAACCTTAGGAAAGAGTCGGCAGCCTGCTGAAGCTCATGGAATCAATGAAATTGAGTGTTCTATGAGATGACTAGGATTTAGTGAATGTATGAGATATGAGACTATTATGATATAGAGACTAGTATTGGGTGGTTGTATGAGATAGAGACTAGGACTGATTGAATGAAAAAACTCGAATTATGTGATTGTATGAGACAGAGACCAAGATTGAGTGATTGTATGAGGCGGAGATTAGGATTGAGTGATTGTATGATATATAGACTAGGATTGAGTGATTGTATGATATATAGACTAGGATTGAGTGATTGTACGAGATAGAGACTATGATTGAGTGATTGTATGAGATAGAGACTAGGATTGAGTGATTGTATGATATAGAGACTAGGATTGAGTGATTGTATGATATATAGACTAGGATTGAGTGATTGTATGATATAGAGGCTAGCATGAGTGATTGTTATAGATAGATACTAGTATTTAGTGGCTGTATGATATAGAGACTAGAATTGTGTGACTGTATGATATAGAGGCTAGGATGAGTGATTATTAGAGATAGATACTAGTATTTGGTGGCTGTATGATATAGAGACTAGAATTGAGTGACTGTATGAGATACAGACTAAGATTGGGTGGCTGTATGAGATAGAGACTAGGATTGAGTGACTGTATGAGATAGAGACTAGGATTGAGTGATTGTATGAGATAGAGACTAGGATTGAATGACTGTATGAGATAGAGACTAGTATTGACTAAGTGTGTATGATATATTAGATGAAATAGATATCAGTATTGTTGTCGGTGGGGTGGCATAGCTCATATGAAAGATTTGCATCGTTGCGACATTGCCTTGTTTGAAATGTAAGTTCATTGTGAAGTTAAGATGATGACACAAGCTAAGATAAAAAGATAACTATTTATTGTTATGGTGACATAATATCACAGTTTTAACCGACCTAACCTTGTAATAACCTGATAAAAAAAATAACTAATTAATGTTTTACTGATGCGATATTTCGACACATTCGTGTAATGTAAAGTAAAAATTTTAAAACTAAAATAAAAATAGTTAACGATGACATGTAACATTAACAACGGTCATTGTATTTAATTAATCGGCTTAAGTTAGAATTCATTTTCTACACATTGTGATAATATTGTTAAAGATGCTCTCCTGTATGGAATTAGAGAAATTGCAGAAATTTGGCACATGACAGTGATCTGTCGGAGGGCCTATGGCTCAAATATCGATTCGTTGTTCGTCTTGAATAGTTTTGTCTTTTTAACGGAACCTTAGACGTCGGACTAGAAATTAGATTGGTGCAAATAGAATACGCATATGAAAGAAAATCCCTCTCCAGAGCTTATTTATTTTTTCCACAGAACCACAGAAAATGGTATACCAGTATAATGTATTGAAAGTAATAATAATACCAATAATTATAATATGTTCATATCGGATTTTAAAAAACGATTTCATGTTCTAGAGACATTACCACACCTTGGAATTTAGTGATACGGTATCTATTTACAGGTTTTAATGCATAGATTACTAGAAATGGGCATACCCTATTTTATATGACAATGTTACCCTCTTTCTGGTTTTTCCAGCCATATCTTGTCAAAGGTGGATAATTTAAAAGAGTCTCAGCCTGCATACAAATTAGATTAGTAGGTGTGCAAAATATGCAGACAGGAAACATTTCAGATGACTAGGCCAGATTACGAATCTGTTTTTATTTGTTACTAGGCTACATTTCATACCTACAAAGACTAACCAGTCCGAAACCCCGGGCATGATGCAATATCAATGTTGTTCAAGTCAACCGCCCCTGAATTTAACAATAAACAAATGTACTTTACTATTTGGATTTGTTGACTGTCACCTGGTCTCCGATTCCTTTTCATAGGTTTATAAGTGCAAGATGTGAATCACACTTTGGAAACTGCAAGTTTAGAGCAAAGGATTATTGGGATGAAAACCATTTTAACATCTATGTTATCCGGTTATTTGTCGTCATATTTATATTTGCACACCTCACCCAGTTTGATATACAAAACGCAAAGAAAATAAGTTAAACATTTAATTATGCTGTAAATGTAACAAAATACTTGAACATGGACGAAAATATATAAATGCATGCTAATTCCTTTCAATATTATGGAAAAAAACTGAAACAAATAAATTATGTATTATGCTAAACAAATGAACATTAACTCTGTAACTGGATTATTAAACTAGTTTACACTAGTTTCTAATATTAGGTTTGTCATACCCCTTGTAGTCAACCAATATACGTCTTCGAACCATACAGTTATGGTAATCACAGGCTAATTAATTCCCGTCGCATCACCACTCTTATTATGCAAAAATCAAAACCAAAGCGCTCTGCATTAGGGATGTGCTTTTACTAATTTCGGGCAGTAATACACTCTCTGGACAGGCAAAGATCTCCATCTTGGAGAATCCTCATTAATATGGTCAATATAAAAGGACCCCAACATTTAATGCTCGGTTTTATTCGTCGTCACCTACTCAATACCAGATTAAAGCATTGTCTTATTGGACAAAACGTAACTCACGTCAAACTGGCCAACCTTCCAGTTGAACAAGATATATCTCAAAATAACCAGAAATCCACAATGATTGATTCATTCATTACCGTTACTTTTATTCGTGTCTATTTGTATCGGACTTTCTTCGGGGAATTCAAGCTTATATAATAATTCAGTTAATTTCAATTTGGCCAGAGCTCGTTGTTTTGGTTCTAGTCTCTTTAGTGTTGATGTCACAATACAACCAAAATGAGTTTCTTCATCTAAAGAGAATCCACCACTATTAAGAAATTGCTTCACATGTATTTCTTCATCTTTGATTCCTATAGCAGCTCGTCTTTTTCTTGATGATGGTAATGCTCTGAGGGAACCATCAGCACCAATAAAACTGACATCTAAGTCACTATTATAATGAGATAACTTCGGTGGTCGTGTTTCTCCATTACCATCATTATTGTCAACAGACTCATCCAAAGCGGATTCAAAGGATACGTAAGGTGGTGTGGAACCTTCATCTAAAACTGGGATCTGTGGAGAGGCCGAATCCTCCTCTTTAAAATAAATCGGCATTTCATCGTATTGTGGTGTAAGTCTGTGACGATGAACTATATAAGGGGATAAGAAATCATCTACTTGATAAAATAATGTCCAACTTGAAACTATTTTATCTTCAGGTACTCCTGGCTTCCTCAACATTTCTTTCTTCTTTTTAACATATCTATCTCTAATAACTCTCCAGCGGTACTGACAATCATCACCTGAAAAGTTGTCAGAAAAGTTGAATGAATCACTATCGTAAATCGCAACGGATTTAGTTGAATCAAAGGATTAAGTCCCGCAATACCGAACCATATTTCAAATTCTAAGAGAAGACCATGCCACCCCCTATACCTACCCCCCCCCCCCTCCCCACCCCTCCTCCTATAATCGCCACTGTGTAAAAATTACTAAAATACTTGTACTGAAGACCAAGATTACCAAGCATAGGCCTATATTCATTTCTAATTTCGTGTGGACATGCATATGCATACTTTATATCTATGCGTTCAATGTTACGCTCTATTGTGGCAACTTTAAGTTATCATATTCAAAAAAAAAAGTTAACACCCCCAGGGCTACAAACTATAGTCTATTTATAAATATCGTTGGAGAAAGCATATTACAGACATAAGCGACTTTTATAATGAAGCGTTGCACTGGATAATCTAGTCTTAACTGGATGGACGAGTCTATTAGAAGATAGACTGAATAGCCATTGAATCGACCACACTCTCGCAACTACACAAGGACAACATCTACATTAATACTAACCGATATAGCCTAAATCTTGCCCGATCGACTTCCAAATTTCATCTTTGAAATTACGGTTTTTGTAATTTTCATCTTTCGAGTCATAAATAACCGGATGTTCTCGAACTTTTTCTACTAGACGCACATCAAATTTCACTTGTACCGCACCATTGTTTTCCTCCATTTTGCTTTTACGTCCAATTCACTTCAGTTCAACTCATATGATATCCGCTACGGCAGACGTGCAGGAAGCCGGAACGTGATTGGCTGAACGTATCTCCCCAACAACTGCGTGACTAGGCGTTTGTAATGTTACTATATTTAACTTATATTGCGTGCTGGTATACCCGCCACGGTTATACGGAAACGTTTAATCAATAGAGTAATAGGCCGACGGTTTTCATAACGCAGACATAGCAAGTATACGAACAAAAGCGATAATAATTTTTTTATTCGTAAAGGGCTGAACATCGCCCAAAAACACTATAATCCCCTTTGGAGACATAATATATTATACTGATAATTAATGTGAAGCCAAACAAATCAGACGCACAGAATCAGTCTTAAACCTTCGAAAGCATCGTGTAGGTTTTACATTGTAGGATAAGCCCTACTAACAATCGTTTCCCTATTTGTGATTAAAATTGGGGAAGCAGTAGAACCTACAGTAAAAAAATGAGCATTCCAAATTTCGCTTCTTTGGTTGATGCCCGAACTCTATAGTGACTTTTCTTCACATCTGAGTTTCCACCGACTAAACTTTTCACGGGATATTGCAGATGCCAATAACCTGAAGATTCACTTTTGCTTACTGAAAAAGTTCAATAAATATTAATGACTCTAGTAAAAAAACCTATAGATCACCGATCACACTGTATTCTTTAATTCAGCAAGGTTTACTGTTAAAGGGATTGGTTGTAATGCTATATAATCATTAATAAATGATATGTATTTGACCTAAGCCGACGTGCGCAGTATAATACATTCCTTTATCTACATTGTCCATCCTTTACATGGTAGGCCTACACAGTGCAAAGTGAACAGGTTCATCAGTAGGGCCTATTTTTTAAAGCTATTGGCTTAAATATTAGGACGGATGGGTCACATACTAGGTTTTTTATCAAACATTTCTGGATCTGTTGCTGAGATGCAGTTGATCTGCTTTCTAGAGGGAAAAGATTATAGGGCTAGATGAGTTGGGGTGGGTTAATGCCCGGAGATACTAAGATTTGAGATACTTTTATATCTCAATCCACCTTTTTTCTCTTTCAAGAGCGTGGAAGATTCAGACAAGCAACCACTAAGAAGGCTACCACGAGAAATTGGCGCCTGTCACATGTGGTCACAGAATACAAACTCAGATTACCCAACAAGCAAATAACTAACCTGAATGTAACATTTCATTCTTTACTCTAGTATGGCGAAGAAAATAGAAAAAAGTAACACATTTTATGTTAACGAACTTGATATTTGTTATTCTAAGCCATTGTTCATTATTCAAGAAAAATATGCTACCACTTTTCTACATCTTGGCTTTTATTGACTTCAACACCTGAGAGTCATCCGGCATCTTCTGGCCTTGACATTTTGCACTGAACTAATACAACCCAAGTGTTTTATAGGTGGTGCGAGTTTATTTCTTTCATATGTTGTGTGAATAGAATGTGAGGAGATCTGAGAATTATGAATGTAAATACTGAGTATACCAGTTCGATAAATAATAATAGACTATAGATATAATTGAATCACGAACACGAGTCAAGTCACGAACACAGTAAATGATTCCAGCGTTATAATATCGGCAGCACCACTTTCATAACGTTCAACGAAAGCTGGGACTTTTTTTTTAACATATAAAATATCTATTATGTTTAGAACTTTGTAATAATAATGCGATAGAAAGCTCGAGTTGCTTTCTTTATCTCTCGTGATACCAAATCGATTTTGAGTTGAATGCTGTATATTTAAATTTGAAAATGACATGCATTGACGTGGAGTTTTACGCCCCCTCTCTAACTAATGAGGACAGTCAAAGTCGTCACTGTAAACAGATACACTTACAACATAGTGCAGTTTTGGGTGATACTGTTTCTCGATTATAGGATTCAATGATACCCTTCATACCGCATTCTACATTTAGAATATCATAATAGATATCATAACAAACACCCGATGTTCGAACTGATATCTTTTATGAATTCAAGATGAATGCATTTTACTCTTTTATCATTTTAACATTTAAAAGCCACTTTTCATAAGTTCTATTTTGGTACTCGTACACGGAAGCAAGTGAATTTTAAAGGTCAAGGTCATATAGGGTTACAAATTATAACAACGTTACACGGAAAAATTAGAATCATCAGTTTAAAGTTAATATCAAAAATACTAATAGAGAAGGACATTGAATAATGAGGCTGAAACATTGTTAGACAGTTTAAAATAATCGGGTATATTTTATATTGTTGTGTCAGCACTTCAACCAGCACGTGTTATTTAAAAAGGTTATTTTGATCTCACGTCGCCCTATATATTTACTGGTATAGGCCTATCGAACTCAATTCAACATTGGTTTTTACCCCAACAATGTCGTGTCTTACCCTTTTTCCAGTCTCATTTTAGCATAATGGTTAAATTTGTGAACTCACTCTTCTTATGAATATGTCAGATCTGGATTGAGTGAAGTAACCTATAGAAGATTTCCGAAAGATTACATAATGATACC